GAATTCGGGAGTCAACTCTTGTCCTCATAAAGTTAAATCCCAATGGCTCAAGAGCAGAATATAGCTTTATAAATTCGACTCTTTATTGAAAGATACATATGCCCCATATTTTGCTCGAGAGTCGAATGTGCAAGCAAAAGTTGAAGCTTCTTGCTCGAAGAGTCAAATATAGAGTTCTATATTCCAGTTATGCATTTTCCAAAATTTACTTTATTCCACTAGAGGCTTTTTTAACTGCCTACTTAAACTCAAATTCATTAAACATTTTACGAGGTTTGGTTATCATCAAAACTTTCCTTGCGCAAAATAATGTAAGTCTAATCTCATGTCTTGCATTTCATTTGATTGAATATCAAATTTATCCTATACTTAGTTTGGCAACAGCTAAGAAGATTTAGGAATTGCAAAGATTTAACTTAAAAAAAAAAAAAGAAAAAGGAAAACAAAATCAAACTTCACTTCGTGAAGTAGAGAGTAGCTGCTGCAACAAGTTTTAGCACCAATTTAAATCTTATTCACTAGAAAATAACAATGCATCTGACAGCTAAAATAGCAACACAAATGCACTTCAACTGAACCTAAAACAAACCAAAAAATAGCTCCACATTCAGGGCAAAACATTGGTCACATTCTAAAATGAAGATCACAATGAAATTTTCTCCTTGAAGATGACAAAACTGGTTTGAATGTTGTAACAACCCAACTAGGTTGTTTCTATGCATTACTATCAATTCTAGTTGCAAATTTCTGACATAATAGATTTCTACTCATGGATTTACAAGTCTCTAACTACATTAAGTCTAGAAATAGTTTCGTTACTATATAAATAATGTTCTTAACTCAAAATATAACTAGCTAGCATATATCCACAAATTCCAAAATGGATTTTATAAGCATATAAACAACAAGCTTGGCTTGATTTATATCCAATCCCAAAGCTTAATTGCACCTAAAAGCAGTTTTTAACATATCTAACAAAAGGATCAGTTCTCATTTCCTTTGTAGAAAACTATATTTTGTACACCAAGGAAATGACAGGCTTATTTACAGTTGCTATTTTCTCATTCCTTGTTCTCTCTCCTTTAATTGTTTACCATGGCAATTTCCCTTAGAAACGAAACAAACCTGCACATGAAGACTTTCAAATAAAAGTATTGCCCTTAGATTAAATAATATGAAACTCAATCTCTATTACTGAAAGTACAGATTGAGTATAGTCCATTTTTAAGGGTAATACTTTTATTAATAAGAGAGAACAGGGAATGAGAGGCAATAAAAGAATATGGGAATCTTTATATTTAAACGTGAAAACTAAGGGTAATATAGGTTCATAACCAACGTGATTTAGGTCGGTAACAATTAATTCATCAAAAAAAATCTCACAAGAACACAGATAAAATGCACATTAAGAACATATTCAACCAAGATAAAATCATTGTTGGATGATCGTCATTGGATTTATAGACGACAAGGTTCTCATGGAGATTGCAATGACGAATTCCTTAATTGACTAGGGCAATTGTTTTAATTTTGTATACAATCATCCTGGTATAAACCTTAATAACAATATTTGTTGTCCTTGTAGTAAATGTTGAAATTTACCTCACCATGACAGGGTAATTGTGTGGAAGCATCTTGTTAGACATGGTTTTGTAGATGCATATTTTATTTGGTGGGCACATGGAGAAACATTAGGAACAAATGTTGAGCCATGGGCA